TCAGCCAGGTGGCATCATTGATGGCGTCAAATGTGGCGGTGGTAGTGAGGTTGGCCCAGGATTGGACATTGTTTCGTTCTGCTGTGCATGGGGTCGCTAAGAGTCGGTTCCAACTCGATGGCACCTGACAACAACAACAACTGAGCCAATTCTGACTCAGTAACCCTATGTACAGAACAGTATCCCTATGTAACCCTATGTACAGAACAGATTTGTTCTACAGTGTGTTTTCAAGGCTGTGATCTCTTGGAAGTACATCCTCTGTTCTCCAAGGTGCCTCTGAGTGGGGTCAAATTGCCAACCTTTTGGCGAATAGTCGAGTGCTTAACCATTTGCATCACCCAGGGACTGACTCACTGACCACAAAGGTACCAGTTGGGAAATCACATAATCAGACACCAGGTCACACTTACTAACTAACCTTCAAGAAAATTTCACTATATAGTCCTCATTCAGACTTCTTTCATGGGTCATTTTCTACTATGTTATTTTAAAATGTACAACAAAAATATCAAACAATGGTGTTTTTACTGTAGGCATTTGTTGTGACTTTATCTCTATTTTTGTTTTATCTCATACCTAGTTGACCTTGTCTATACTTGTCACTTCTTTCTCAAGAGCTTACATTTAGACAAATCAATATCAGAAGAGGAACAGAATATCTAACATGCTTACGTTAGAAAGTTTTAGAAAATCATGCGCTGGTCTTCCCTTATTTTTCTCCTCCCTCCCCCTTCTATCCTGAAGAAACTGTTTTAAGGTTTTCTCAAATTTCTGATACCCAAAACACCAAACCCATTGCTGACCAATACATTCCAACTCACAGCAGAGTAGAACTGCCCCCAAAGGTTTCCAAGGCTGCCATCTTTATAGAAGCAGACAGTGACAGCTTTTTCCATAGAGCGGCTGCTGGGTTCCAATCGCCAACCTTTCAGCTAGCTGTCAAGCATTTAAGAAGTGCACCACCACAGCTCCTGACGTGCCTGATAATAATTACTTGTTTTCTCACCTTTCTTGCTTTGTATGCTTGTCTAGAGTGGTTATTCGAATTTCACCGTCTCCCTGAGGCCTCCCAAAAAGCAAGACTGGTTGGTTCTAAAAGATAAAAATGTACATTTCTGAGTTTCGCTGCATCACATACATACAGAAGTAAATATCAAAAATATTTTGAGAGACAACTAGCTAATTACAATATAAGCATGATCATTATGCCTTTTTAAGCACAGGTCTAGGATACACTTTTTAAAAATAGCCTTGTCTTTTATACTTCCAGGGCTTTATGGAGAATTTAATTAGTTTTGATATAATCTTAATGAGAAAGCTAGCTATCAAAAGAGAAAATTGATTGGAAGAATCCTAATCACAAGGGAGTCACAGCCACTAATATGTGCTGATCACCTACTTTGTGTGGCTGCTATACTAGCTGCAAGGAAATGGGCACAGCCTGTCCTCATGGAGCGTACTGTCTAACTGGGGAACACATATTCCAGAAGTGCACAATTGCCAAGAAGGAAAAGTACAGGAAACATGCATAAGAGAGGACTTTGGCCTAAAAGACTAGGGATGGTTTCCTTGAGCTAAGATCTCAAAATTGAATAGTTCTGACTTAATGATTTGAAATAATTATTTCACCAGATACAGACAATTAAAAACAAAGCGTTTTAAAGTGTTCATGAATATATACTGTACCAGGTTTCAAGGGAATAAAAAAAAATGATCATTAGTATCAGAAGCTTCCTTTCTAATAAAGCAGACACATGTTCAATGAATTGAACTACAAGAAACTATGAAAACCAGTGCTAAACATTTGTCCAGACACTGGGCTATGAAATTACAAATAAGACAGAATGAAAGGAGATTATGGAAAGTGATTCATTTTCCTTGGGTCTTGAGGGAACTTGATAGAGAAAAAAGGAAAAGACATTCTAGCCTCTGATAAAAAAAAAAAAAAAAAAGGCAGAATTACACAAAGATCTACACAAATCAGAGACTATAAAACTATAATCCACAGTAAAATAGTTACAATGTAAAGTACATGAACAGACAGATCTGCATGAATTTAGGAACGCAGTTTACTGACAGATCAGGAATTATTCCTTACTATTATGTTCAGGAATATGGATTAGCTCTTGAAGGCAACAGAAAGTTTAGGCAACATTGAGTTGTCGTTGTTGTTAAGTGCCGTGGAGTTGGTTCTGACTCATAGCAAGCCTGTACAGGGTTTCGAGGCTGTAAATCTTTACGGGAGCAGAAAGCCTCATCTTTCTCCCGCGGAACAGCTGGTAGTTTTGAACTGCTGATCTTGCGTGAGAGAGTGAATTAAATCTACATTTGGGAAATGCAACTATCTGAAGAAGTGTCTGTGATTGCAAGATGGAGATGATGGGGTCCTGAAATGGGAAAGTAGCTTTAGAAATGAAGAGCGAGAGGCTCAAGATATTTCAGACAGAGAGCCAATTAACACCACTTCACCAACATATAAAACAAAACAAAACTTAAATCCACTCAGTTTGTCTCCATTGTCATCACTAATAGTTTAAACCAAGTCAATTCTCTCTTAACATGACTCCAACAGCTTGCAAACTTGTCTGTGGTTTAAAAGATCTTCTTGGAATGTGTATCATGTGATATTCCCTAATTTAAGAAAAACCTTCCCTAGCTTCCCATTGAAGTCACAATAAAATCTCAAGTGCATATGGGGTGTACAAGACCACAGCATGCAGGTCCCCCTGCTTCCCATCACTTCTCTCTCCCTCAGTCTCTAGTTATGTTTCCCTTTTCAGTGTCTTGGAAACACCTGGCTCTTGCCTGTCCCTGGGCAATTCACTTACTGCTGTCTTCCCTAGATCTCTGTGTAGCTTGATCTTTGTATCCTTCAGGTCTCCGTTCAAATGACAAATAGCTCCAGAGGACTTTTTCTAAGCATCTTATCTAAACTAGAACACTCTTTATCATCCTCTGTTACAACACTCAGTTTGTAACACTAACCTCAACATGACATTTTTTTTTTTTAAAGCTTTTATTATGAAATGAGTGATAGCTTAGATGGCAGAACACTGGTGTTACACAGAACACTGGTTTTACCAATTGCAATGATTTACAATCTCCTCCGTGCATCACTGTTCAACAGTATTTGCTTCTAATCCCTTTGTTAGGTTTTGTTTGGGGATTTTTTTGGGGGGTAGGATGTACACAAAAACACTCAGGGATATACAATCATTTAAACAATCAAAGGGCACATTCTGCAAGCCTGCCTCCTGTTTGTAAGCACAAAGTCTTTCTCTTTCCATGAATCTAGAGTCCTCAGCTGCTCTCTCTCTCCATGCCCCCATCTCTGCCTCCATCTCTGGTGTCGCTGCTTCTCTGGATAGGGTCCCACATTCTGCTCATGCTCTTCTCTCTTGATAGTCCTAGGGGCCTCTTTTCCTAGAATGTAAGATTAACTATTTCCCTGTTTTTGTTACAAAATTTCTATCTTTACAGTGTGACAGTCATAATTAGTCATGATAACTATTACTGTTGAATCCTAAGAATCGTATTCCCATCTCTTGTCACCAGACCCGTCTAAACAAGATGAAAACTATTCAGTGGGGACTCTACCTTCCCCCTGCACACTCTGAAACTAAAATAATTCTTGAAAACTTGTAAGCCAGTCACTTCATGCCTTTGTTGTCCCCTCATTTTAGGTAGCCAATCAACATGGCATTTTTAAGCTCTATTTTTAGTCTCCTCAACCACACACCATCTTGTACACAGTTCCAGTTCCAGCTCCAAACATAAGGCAGGTAATAAGTAGATACAGAATGCACAAATAAGCAAGAGTCATCCATGTGTATGTATGTATGTATTGGGGAAAACAGAAAATGATGGACATCAATGTTTAGAGCTTAGACTGCAAGAGAAGAGGCACAGGATTTACTGAGATGAGAGGGACAAGTTGGCAGCAGAAAGTCCTTGCTCACATAATGGGAAGGCACAGGTACCAGCAGGCATCCACGTGAATGTTCAAACACAGAAATTGGAAAGCAAGCCTGAGAACAAAGGAAACCTTAAGGTAAACTACTTAACCTTAAGTACTTTTTTCTTCAAAACAAATCCTAGAATGCTCCCAAATTTGAGGATGGGGGAGTTGGATGGAAGGATAATTACATACCAAATTTTCTATCGACAGCTGAAACTGCTTAATTTCACGCAGGGTCTCATTGTCTCTTTTCACTTCATTTACATATTGTGCCAAGTCCTGCAGAATAAAGAGAAGGGTACAGCAAAGAAGACATGGTAATAAGAGTTGAGATCTGCTTTGAAAACACAAACACACACACACATCATTAATTCCATTAGCAGTAAATGTAACAACTATAGTGTTTCAATGACAATGAAATGAACACCCAATCAAACAAAATGGCATCTCCAAGGCAATTAAAAATGTCTGAAGAGTTGTCATCTATCACATCTCTGAGAAAAGCAAGAATGCTGTTGTCTTACAAAGCAAACACAAACACAATGTCCCTCTGTAGGGCAACAGCAACAACAAATGGGGACAGAGTAACATAAATTCCAGACAAATTAATAACTGGCTTGAGATTAGAGGAAGGACAAAGATGAGGATTAGCAGGGGAACAAGTAACTGAATGTCAGACAACAGGTCTGGCAGGACAATTCTGTGCAGTCAGTTAATATATTAGTATTGAGAGTATTCAACCAAGGAAGCCGGTCCAGATTTAAAGAGTTCAAAAGGAGAAATGAAGACGAGATGAGAAACTAAACAGCATAAAAATGAATTCAAGTGAATGGCAACCACGACAACAACAACAAAAACCTGCTGGTCATGTCTCTCCACGTGTCTTCACCTATTTTAAAATGTCTTCCTTATATTTGAGGAAGCATTAGCTAATCCTTCCATACTGTAACTAGCTATTTTTGTTATGGGTGTTCCAGATTTTCCTGTTTATTTCTTTTTTTTTTTTTTTAGCTTTTTCTTTTTTTCCCCCTCTATCCTCTGAATGCAGCTTTAACAGTAGGAACAGAAGTCTGACACAAGCAGCTTGTCAGACTTTTGTTCTAAATGGAAATCTGACTTTTCCTAGGGTAAGTCATAAATAAGTTATTTAAAAATGAGAAACTTGATCATGACTTTTTGGTCATAATAAATAAGAGAATGATGTTTCCTAATGGTGGCGATAGAATCAGTGAAACACTGAAAATGCTATGTAGTTGTTGTTGTTAAATGCCACTGCGTAGGTTCCAACTTATAGCAACCATGTATATGGTTTCCTAAAAACAGCTGGTGGGTTTGAACTGACAACCTTGCAGTTAGCATCCTAGTGCTTATCCTACAACACCATACCAGGAAAGCTATTGTTGTTGTTTAGTGTCTTCAAGTCGGTTCTGACTCATAGTGACCCAGTATAGCGTTTCTAAGGAGTAGCTGGTGGATGTGAATCACTGACACCTTGTAGTCCAGTGCTTATTCTACAGCACCACACCAGGACTCCAGGACACAAATTAGTACTTGTGCACTGCGCTGAACAGACTCTCATCAGCATTTTGTTTTTGAGAACAAATACTTGCTTCTGTATCAGGTCATCGGCAGATAATACTTCAAGGTCATTTTTATCAAGTATAACATGAAAACTGGGGCTTTATATATTTCCCAGTATGTTTGGAAAGCCAGCCTTTTATCTACTTGTGGTTCATGATAATAAAAATCCATGCTGCATTCCCTTGTATTGATACAGAGCATACACAATGGTGAATCTGGCAAATACTCTCTTAGAAAGAGAACAACTCATACCTGGCTTTCCAAAGTCACAGAATGGTTATTGTTACATAGCCAACAGTTAGCTATAAGCAACTATAAAAATATATTAAATGAAACCATTATATTAAATATTTTTGGTGGCTACAAAAGTTGTCATCCTTGTACAAAGGCTATTTTAATAGATCCCTTTGTTTTATGAGTTTTTGACTAACTTAATTGCACCCACAAACGGTATCTATTTCAATAACAAATATACAGTTCTTTCGGTACCCCCCAACTTATTCATGTATAATATACTCACATATATCATATATTAATATATTAGCAGTATAAACTCTCGTATTTATAGGCAAAAATAGAAAACACAAACAAGTGGCTGATATGTTTGCCTTACCTTCATTGCATCAAGAGCAAGTTTCAGATTTGCTTTCTCGGTGGAATCAGTGGTATGCTTGACCAGCTCCTGTTTAGAAGATAAAATCAAGACATTAGAAAGCAAACAGCTTTAAAAACAAAAAACAATCACCAGTTTTTTGTACAATGATGTGATGAAAATTTTATTTTCAATGGAAATGTCACACAATGGTATGGCAACCAATTGGGTACCCAAAGAGTATGTGACAGTGCTCTAAAACATCTTCCTAATATAGATGAATCTGAACTCTGTCTCTCATCACTGCACTCATGTGGTTTCCCAGACGTCATGAAAGATCCCCTAAAGCCCAAGTGCACTGATATATTTTATTCATTATCTAACTTGGTCTCTACAGCTTCAGATTCTGATAAGGACACTTCTCCTTTGGTTTTCAGGATTTTAGGATCTTCTGTGTGTTGCCATTTGTTTATTCATTCTAAATTTCTACCTCTTCCTCAGTTCCTTTCAGAGGTTTTCTACTTTAATCTTTACCATAAAAGTTATTGTATTTGACATGGCCTTTGGTTGTTTAAATGATGATATATTCCTGAGTGTTTTTGTGTACATCAAAAAGCAAAACAAAACAAAAAAAGAGGAAATAGAAGCAAATACTTGGAAAAGATTGTAATCAATGCAATGAAATGATGAGAGCAAAACTGATATTCTCCGATGTAAACCATCACGCAATTCACACACACACACAAAGTTTCTGTATTCTAGATGTTCACCTCATCCCTTCCTTTCCCTTCATATATTCTAAAACTCCCATCACAACTATTGCCATAACGTCAACTATCAGATAATAAGATATTCTCAAGGCCCTTCAGTGATCCAAATTCCTCAAACCTCTCCCATTGTCTCTCTTTCCACTTACACCCAACTTATATCTCACTGAAACTAGATTATCTACAATTCTCCAACTTCAATCTTGAATCCCATTGTTGTTGTTGTTGTTGTTAGGAGCTGTTGAGTTGGTTCCAACTCATAGCGATATTCTATAGGATTTCCGAGGCTATAAATCTTTTTGAGGAAGCAGAAAGCCTCATCTATTTCCTGTGGAGTGGCACGCGGGGTCAAACCACCAACCTTGTGGTTCTCAGTCCAGGACTTATCCTACAGAGACAAGACACGCTCCTAATTCCATTAGGTAGGCTGCTTTCTTTCCTTAGAATGGCCGTTCTCTCTGTCCTCCTTTCAAGCTCTTACCTCCAAAGCCCAATTCAAGAATCACTTATCTGTGGAGTCTTCTATTACAGAGCTCTCTACTCCTGCCCGCAATCTTCTCAGACATAATGAGGCCTTTATTTGTACCATCACTGTACCGTCTACCTATCTGTCAGGCTACTTTGTCATTAACAGCTTACATTTCTTTCTTCCCATCTGTACAAGGGCTATTTCATACCATGAGTGCTTAATACTGTATTTGGCACAAGGGAACAACAACAATAAGAAACTAAACTGCCATTGAACCAATTTTGATTCGTGGACACCCATGTGTTACATTGCCTAACTGCCCCATATGGCTTTCTTGGTGGCAATCTTTACAGACACACAACACCAGGCCTTTCTCTGTGGCACCTCCGGGTGGGTTCAAACTACTAGCCTTACGGTTAGTGTTGTTGTTGTTATTGTTGTTAAGTGCTGCGAAGTTGGTTTCGACTCATAGAAACTCTGTATAGGGTTCCCAAGGAGTGACTGGTGGGTCTGAACCACTGACGACCTTTTGGCTCAAACTGACCTTGCAGTCCAGTGCATTACCCTGCAGCACCACACCAGGTTAGTAGCTGAGTACAAACTGTATGGGTACATATAGTCTTTGGTATATGGCAGCCACTCAAAAATCTTCTGACTTCAACACCAGAAACATTTCTAGTTGTGAACAGACTGACAAACACTGAATCGGTAAGTGCAACAAATCTACTAAAATGTATCTGTATATTTTCTGTTTTTCCATTAAATACAGTAAAGGAGCTCTGGTAGCACAGTGGGTTACAAATTGGGCTGTTAACCACAAGGTTAATTGTTCAAATCTACCAGCTGCTCCATGGGAAAAAGATGAGGCTTTCTGTTCCCATTAGGTACAGCACTGAAAGCCCTAAACAGGGTTGCTATGAGTCAGAACTGACTTCACAGCACACAGCCATTGTCACCACCAGAGTAAATTAGTCTTCAAATTTTGCAGTTCTCCGCTATAAAATGCTCTAATTTTACAAAACTGCGATTTCAAATCACCAAGCCTCTCAAAAGTGATTTCTTCACTAAAGTATAGTTGTTCTTGCTGTTACATGTCATTGAATTGGTTCCAACTCATCTTAACCCTGTGTAGGGTTTCCAAGGAGCGGCTGATGGGCTTGAAATATCAACCTTGAGGTTAGCAGTCCAGTGTTTATTCTACAGCACTACACCATAAAGTATAATTGTTGTTGTTGTTGTTAAGTGCCGTGGAGTCGGTTCCGACCCATAGCGACCCTGCACAGGGTTTCCGAGGCTGTAAATCTTTACAGGAGCAGAAAGCCTCATCTTTCTCCCGCGGAACCGCTGGTAGTTTCGAACTGCTGACCTTACAGTTCACAGCCCGATTCGTAACCACTACGCTACCAGAGCTCCTTATAAAGTATAATGTTGTTGCTGTTGTTGTTATGTGCCATGGAGTTGGTTCCGACTCATAGCGACCCTGTAAAGGGTTTCCATGGCTGCAAATCTTTACGGGAGCAGAAACCCTCATCTTTCTCCCACAGAACTGCGGGCAGTTTCGAACTGCTGACCCTGAGGCTCGCAGCCCGATTCGTAACCACTACACTGCCAGAGCTCCTTTATAAAGTATAATAGTAAGTAGAAAATATCCAAACTCATAGTCACATTTGTTAGACAAACTTCTAAGCACTTCATAAATGGATTTCATGAAACACTATTTTGAAATAACAAAATCTCTGGAATTGTTATTGATGTGTATGTATATCCAAAATAAAGTTCCTATTTTAACTTCAGTCCACAAAAAGAACTAAACATACTCTTTCCATTTAAAAAGAGGAATTAGAAAAAGTTAACTAAACGTCTAAAAAGCATAGTTGCATTTTATACTTTTAAAAAGTCTTTGTAAAATCTTCTAAGTGATCAAAATAGGTTTTTCTTGAAAATGACACCTTTTATATTCTCCAATCAATACCTACCTATACTAAAGCTGTAAGATAAATTATTATCTTATTTTGGACATGTTTTTAGTTCCACGATATCTCAGAAACAGATTGTCTGAGTCTTCCTTATTATTTTTTCATAAAATCCAATTTGATTAAGGTGCTTTGAGTTTAGGCCTCATAAATGTTTTAATGCATTTTTAAGGAATCATCAGGGTTTGAATTTTTCTGATTTCTCAGTAGAACAAAAATAGAGACAAGTAATAATCCTGTGGCTGCAGTTCAAGAAATTTAATATACTACTATGCATTGTTTAACATCCACAATACATTCTGTGAAATAGGCTGTTATGTGATTTGGATGTTGTGCAAACACCATATTATATACTTAACAAACAGACATGCCTAAATTGTGAGCAACATCATTCACTGATTTTCCACCATTGCGTTGCTTAATAGCCTTTTGATTTACTTCCAGATTGATGTGTCTCCTTTGTCTGTTGCTGCTGCTGTCACTAGCAGTATTTGGAAGCCAGGATACACTTGTGGTGGTGGTGGTGTGCCAGGGAGTCAGTTTCTGAGGCCCTAAATCTCTACGGGAGCAGAAAGCCTCATCTTTCTCCTATGGAGCAATGGGTAGATTTGAACTGTTGATCTGTGGCTAGTATCCCAACTCATTACCCACTATGCTACCTGGATGCACTTGAGGGACTCCAAAAAGTTCATGGACAAATGGAATAAAAGATAATGGGAATCTTCCCATGAACTTTTTAAAGCCCCAAATAAAACCGAGAAACCCTATAATCTTCAAGAGATATGCAATACAAGAGACGTGATGCTGCTATCACCGACTAGTTGAAGCGTACATTATTATTGTTGCTGTTGTTAAGTGCCGGCTAGTTGGTTCCGACCCATAGCGACCCTGTATAGGGTTTCCTATGAGGGACTGGTGAGCTTTAACCACTGACCTCGCGGTTCAAACCAATTTTGCAGTCAAGTGCATTAATCCACAATGCCACACTAGGACTCCATATATTACTGTATGATAACCTTATTTATAAGTAGGGAAAGTTCACATTAATATAATGATAAAAGTCCAGTCCTTACAATAGCATAAGTGCTTATTATAACTATCAACACATATGTATTTTAGGGTAAATATGTACTGCATGTCGGGCAGCATAGTCACTTCATATAAAAAACACACAAGATGCAGGTGTTGCAAGCAGGAAGCTGTTGCATTCACTACTTGGGGTTACATCCTCTACATCCTGTTCTCCAGTTGAAATTTCTGAACAATATCATAATCTTACAAGACTATGGACACATACACAGCCTGACATTTCCTGAATGGGTGTTATGCAGTGCATGATTGTACAAGAGGTACAAAGCACAGGAAACTCAGAATTCTATTCCACACACAGGTGTTGTTGTGTTGTTAAATGCCACTGAGTTAGTTTCAACTCATAGCAACCCTACACACAACAAAACTAAACTCTGCCCAGTCCTGTGCCATCCTGACAACTGTTGTTATGCTTGAGTCCACTGCTGCTGCCAGTGTGCCAATTCACTTCATTGGAGGTCTTCTTCTTTTTCCCTCCACTTTACCAAGCATGATGTCCTTCTCCAGGGACTGATTCCTACTGATAACATCTCCAAAGAATGAGAGATGAAGTCTCGCCATTCTGGCTTCTAAGGAGAATTCTGGTTGTACTTCTTCAAAGGCAGACTCATTTGTTCTTTTGGCAGTCTACAGTACTTTCAATATTCTTTGACAATGCCACAATTAAAATGCCATGATTGTTCTACTGTCTCCCTTATTCACTGTTCAAGTTTCACATGCATATAAGGCAATCGAAAATACCACGGCTTGGGTCAGCACCTTAGTCCTATAACTAATATCTTTGTTCTTTAA